TCGAACTGGAAGAGCTCATAAAGAGTCTCTTGAGAGTGATGCTTGGATAGGCCACTGATATGAGAGTGGTGCTCAGGTAGGCCACTAGATTTGGGAGAGTGGTGCTCAAGTAGGCCACGGGGTTGGGTGAGTCTCCTCTAAGTCCTTAGCTAGTGTTGGAGCGAGGTATGAGGTCGAGGGTTATTCCCTTAACCAAGTACTTGGGAAGGTGCGTGGATCCTTGCGGATAGTCGGTGGATGAACTCCACAATTGACTTGGTAATGCATGTCAAGGTCGTGGTAAGCATGTACCCAACTGTACTATACCTGACGGTGGATTTGGACTTCTAATTGTGTAAGTGACATCATCCGAGTAACCCGAGTGAGGATTATATCCTGTTTAGCTATGACCGAGCGGGCGCATTGGGCGTGAAAACGGTTGGGATGGTTTCGGTAGGCTGGGATGTCACTTATACTGCTTTCTTGTTAGGGAGATCTCCTAGGTGTACGCGTGACGACGCATTAGATGATTGATATGCATTGATATCTGTCATGAGATGAATTTATTGCATGATTGTTAATATGATGAAGTGTGTGGTGTTTGGCTTCATGATTGGTGGATTGTATTTTATGCATGAGTAGTATTGGATAGAGTGTATGGTGTGACTCTATGAATATGATTGATAGTTGGATGATTGTGTAGTATAGATTATTGTTCTGTACTTGTATGATTAATTTTTGAACTCTAGCTTACCCTTCTGTTTCCATGTGGTGGGACTGCAATGATCATACTTGGTATAGGAGCAGGTCAGGGATAACTTAGAGTTGAGGTGACCGCTGCGAGACGGGGAGTTTGATCCTCGTGTTAGAGTTACCATTTTGGGTAACAATTTTGTTTGTGCTTGACCGGCATTAGAGAATATTATTTTTAGGATGACTATACATATATGGTGTTCTATTTTGTATACAGAAACTTAGTTATTTTTTCTTACCTATCCTTGTATCTATGAGTTATCCAACTTAATATTTTTCTTAATTTGTTAGTAATAATGGAATTCCACTAAATGTAGAAACCATGACAAGTTGTTACAACGGGTCAACCCGCTATTTGGCTCGTTAGGTTAACGGGCTTGACAGAACAGACTTGACAGGTTGACAGACTGAAATGATAAGTCCATCCTACTAATTTTTATCAGGCCAATTACGAATTGACCTTGGCTCGCAAGCCAAGACCCATTTTACCATCCCTATCTAAATCATTCCCCTATCTCCTTTTACATTACCTTACCTTCCAACAATTTATAACAAAATGAAAAATTATTCAAGTCAGACCCCACGTCATGAAAAGCGTTCACGTTGGTTTGTTTTATTTGTTTATTTATTTATTTATTATTATAAAAGACTACTTTTTTAATCAAGGACAACAATCAAATCCCATATGCGATTTTAGTAGAGTTTACGTGCGTATCGTAAAAGTATGAGTTTGTTACAGAAAATATTATAATTATTTTTGCTAACCATGTAAGTCCATATTAATTTTTATTCGAGAATTCAGATGGTGAATTTGGATAGCTATTTTTATTTTTTTAATCACTTTCTTTTGTATATACAAGACTCAATCTTTATATTTTATGTAAAGAGATTAAGTCGGTACCACTCTTGCCTTTGATACACGAAAAATAGTGAAAAAATAAAATAGATAAATAAAAAATAGGTGAGAAATAAAAAGTCAATGTAATTTGGTTGAATGGAGTTATGCCAAACATAATTTTTTTCAATCATTAAACAGGTTAGAGTACCAAGTTACAGAATAAAAGATTGAATCAAGAAATCACTAATTAAATTGTATGATCTACTTCCTATTATTATTTTTTAAAATAACATATTACATAGGTTTTATATTTATAAGTTTTAATATTTATATCATATATAAATTTTAATTTTATCTTATTTAAAATTATTTTTATTTCTAATTTATATATAAAAGTACATGAAAAAATTGTATATAAAATTGTATAAATTAATATAAATTAAAAATATAAATAATATATATATATAATATTTATAATTTTGATATCACAAAGTAATATTAATTAATAATAATATCTTTTGATAAAAAAATAATATTTTTTTAAAAAGTGTACCTTGAAAAAATTAATTATAGTTATATATCTTTTAGAAATGAGACTTTTAGAATAAATTTTTAAGAAGACAAAAACAAAACTTTCAAGTTATAAAACTTAAAAAAAAATTATACAACTATTAATATAAAAAAAAATTGAAGGAAAACAAAAGTAAAGACTTAATTGACTTAGAGGTTGGATCGATAACACTAAGCCAAATCTAATAATTTACGTAACATTTATATCATATCACAAAGTAATATATATATATATATATATATATATGTATATATTATTAAATATACAATCTAAAGTTAATAATATAATATAAAAATAATTTAAGTTTCACATGTATTAATTCACTAATTAAAAAAAAACCTGTCGGTCCAAATTGATTTTTTAAAACATTGATACCAAGTAAGAAATAAAAAAGTGTAAATCCACACCTTTTTATTTCTACGATGCACAAAAATGGCATAGAAGAATCGCCGTAGTCACATTTGATAGCGATTTTTTACTAATGACTTTAAAACTACTACAAAATAGATATTAATTTAATAATTTCTTTTATAATTTTGGGAGTCAAAAATTGCTATAATTAATTTCTTTAATTTTTTAAACACATATCACCGGTTTGAAAACAGTCAGAAAGTGATAATTGATTAAAAAATTCACATTTGATTGACACATATTTATCCCACAACAATTTTTACTATATTAAAAAATTGAATTATTTTTTTTATTTCTTTCTTCTCTATATTTCATCCATTTTTAAACTATAATTAAATTTAGTCTATTTTTTTTTACCTATTTTTATTCAAATATTTCTTTCCTCTCTAAAAACTCACTCTCAGACCAACATGTTAATAATATTAGAATTATTTAGTTATTTTATATCAAATATTATTTTTAGGTTTATATTAAGTAAAATTAGTTTGAGTCTGTTACTAAAGATTAAATTTATGTATAGTAAAGGAATAAAACTATATTGCATTCTTAATTATATAGAAACTAAAAATAAATAAAAAATGTAAAAAAATTATAATAAAAATATGATATTTTCAAGAACTAATGATATATTTAACTCAAGTATAAAATATTTTTTGGTCTCACAAAATTAAGCAGGATGTATCTTTTTATATAAAATTTGGCTCCGCTACAATAAGATTATCTAATATTTTACACAATAAAATAAAAGTGCATCAGATAAAAAAAAATAGTGTAAAAATCACATTTAATATATAAATGTTATGTGTAACAAGTTTTCAGCATCTTTTATCCAATTTTTTAAGAAACTTTTATAAGATCATTCATCTAATCACTATTCAAGTCAAAACACGTACGCTTAATTTTAAATTTTTTAATGATCAACTACTAAAAAGTAATTGATTTAGACAATTTTGATTATTTTCTTTAAATTATTCTGAATTACACATACATAAATCTCCGAATTCTTTTTATGGAAGTCTCCTTAAGATATGCCACATAGTCCATCAATAAATTATTCATTGTACATTCTGCATGTGTACACGTATAACCATATAATTTTTTTCTCATCTATAAAAATCAAATTCAGTAACAAAATTTTCTAACGAGTCACACACATTTCTCACAACTGAACTAAATCCCTAATATGATCATTTAAATTTTAATGAATTAATTCAACTCGACTTTCTTTTATCAAATTTTAGTGGTCATAATAACTATATATGCTTTACGAGCGCGTAAATACATTTGTACCAAACCCCTTGTTGTCGGTAGAGAGAAATTACTATTTAGTTACAGTCATTTTTAATTATACATCTAATTAAAAAAATTTAATTTGCAAAAAAAATTATTATTTAATTACATATTATATAAAAATTAATTGAAATTTGGAACAATGATAATTCTAAACCATATAAAAAAATGATCTTGGAGAGATGTTTATTCAAGGGGACATAGTCAATTTAATATTTGTTTGAAACCCTTCTGTTTATGCAGAAAGTTATAAGTCGGTAATAGAGGTAAACATTTGATCAAATTAAATCAAATGATTAATGTGAATAATTAAATCATCTTAACAGTGGAATTATTCTTAACTATTATTAAATTTCGTGAAAGACTGATTAGATCTCTCATTGTTGACATTGTAATTTTTTTATGGATAAATTATTTTTGAAGTGCCATATTTTAGTTTCCGATTAATGACATAACTTGTCTATTTTTTCCAAAGCTCTTAACAAAAAAATAGTAATGTGTTGCATCCTATCTCACGTGCAAGCATATTTCCGAAAATATTATTATTATTATTATTATTATTATTATTATTATTTATTATTATTATTTTCAGTGAGGGGGTGCACGATGAGAAAAAAAGTAGGATGAGGAATCATTCTCCTACTCTGGTCTTAAAAGTATACATCAACCGACTAATTCTTATGTGCTTCTTAAAAAAGACACCTACGAAGAATATTGTTGACTTATGTTACATGCTTTATCAGTAAGCTTACATGCCATGTACACAAATTTGCCGTACGTGTCATCATACATGACATGGTGATTAATCAAAGAAAAATGACATTTTCACATGCTCTGTGGAGTGTAAAATGGGCATAGAAAAGAAGGAGAAAATAAAAACATAAAGTATGAGTGGATAAAAATGAAATATAATTGTTAAAAAATTAGAGCTATTAATCAAAGGGGTTTCAAAAGACAATGGTACCCTTTGATGTGTAATATAGGTAGCACATGGATGGAACCACCACTAGTGCTACATCTCAACTCTGAAAGCTTTACACGCTTTTAACACTCATCTAGAAAAGTGGTGTTCTTTTCTTTCTCTCAGGACTCATAGCTTTTCCTTTTTCCCATTCTCTTCTTAAATCCATGGACACAGCTCAGTGGGCACAGGTATACAGAACTTTTTCTGTTTTCTTTCCATATAATCATGAAAATCTCTGCTGGGTGTTGTGTTGTGATTTTCAACCATAATTTAGATTATTAAGTTTTCAACTTTGGAAATTATTTTGAATATATTGTTAGTTCTAGGGAGGGGAGTTTCACTTTATCCCCAACTTTTTCTGATAAAAATTCAATTTTTGTTGCTGTCTTTTTAAGATCTTTCCCTCATTTATTTTTTTCTGCTACTGAAAGTACTGCTGCTTTCTTTTTCCCATTTTTTTCCTTTCCACCATCTGATAAAGGATAAAGGACCCAAGAAAAAGTTAACATATTTGTTTGTATCGCTGCTAGCTCTTGTAACATAATCCCTCAAAGTGTAATAATAAAAACACCTTGTTTGTTTGTTTGTTTCCTCTTTCTAAGGGTTTTGAATTCAGTTATTATGGCCTTTTGCTGTTCTTTTGTTTTTATTGTGTTGAAATTTGGATATTTTTTCAGGGGATTGGAGTGGTTAAGCCACCTATGGAAGGTTCAAAGGCTCCTCCCATGTTGGAGAGAAGGGCAAGGCCTCAGAAGGATCAAGCTTTGAACTGTCCAAGGTGCAATTCCACCAACACCAAATTCTGCTACTACAATAACTATAGCCTCTCTCAGCCTAGGTACTTTTGCAAGACATGTAGAAGGTATTGGACTGAGGGAGGATCACTCAGAAACGTTCCTGTGGGTGGTGGCTCTAGAAAGAACAAGAGATCAACATCAACCCCATCAGCACCCCCACCACCACCGTCAGCACCAACAAAGAAGCTTCATGATCTTACAGCACTAAATTTCCCTCAATCTGCTTCTCAGGACCCTAAGATCCACCAAGGGCAAGACCTAAACTTGGCATATCCACCAGTTGAGGACTATGCCACTGTTTCCAAGTTCATTGAGGTTCCTTACAGCACTGAATTGGACAAGGGTCTTCAAAATCAAAACCCCACCTCAGCAACATCATCATCATCTCAGTTGTCTGCCATGGAGCTTCTCAAAACTGGGATTGTTGCTTCCTCTAGGGGCTTGAACTCCTTCATGCCAATGTATAATAATTCAACTGGGTTTCCTTTGCAAGATTTTAAGCCACCACACGGCCTTAACTTCAGCCTTGAGGGGTTTGAAAATGGTTATGGGAGCCTTCAAGGAATTCAAGAGGGTCCTACTGGTGGTGCAAGGATCTTGTTTCCTGTGGAGGATTTGAAGCAGCAGGTTCCAAACACTAATGAGTTTGATCAGCACAATAGAAGTCAAGGGGATTCAACTGGGTATTGGAATGGCATGTTAGGTGGAGGATCATGGTAGATAGTAGAGAGAAAAAGAAGAACAAGGGTTGTTGTTTTAGCCTTTTATTTTTTTCTTTTCTTAATGGGGGAGTGTGGTTGTGTTTGGAGTGATCAGAACCACTAACAAAATAGGGTACAAGGCTTCTGGTTTGCTTCTTTTTAATCCATTTCAAATATTTTTGGTCTTTTGCTTTCCTAGTCCACTTTTATTTTTGGCTTTTGGTCCCGAAGAATGTGGCTGTATTTTGAAGCTACCTTTCATTTATTTAGGTTAAGTAAGCATGAGGAGCTTCAAGTCCATAACCTATATCATATATAATCTCAACACTGATTTTTCAATATTGTTCTTTCTCGTGAGAATAAAGCTTATTCTTGAGGCTTTAGCAGGATCTTCGCGCACGGTTTGCTGCTACCACAGCAAGGAAAGGATTCCCATCAATACCATTGTCAGGTACCAAGAGAGTTTGGTCGGTCATGCACAACCTTCAAATTTAATGCCCCTTTTAAGCATAATTGGTTTAGGCTAATAATAAGGGCATTTAACAAGTTAGTGCACCAAATAACTAGTTTTTAGTGTTTGTATTTGTAAATTCTAAACTGGGATTTATATAAACATAAAGTGAGTTGGAATGATGGCTGTCAAATCCTTTACAGCAAAAGTGGTCTCACTCTCTTTTTTTTTACCTCTCTTTTCCTTTCTTTTTGCTTGCCAACCGATCAGAAGTGTCAGATCTTAACAGTACCGCTTCGTATTTCAGTTTCTTCCATCTGCTCAGTATTCAGTATTCACGAAGCAACCAAATAGAATCTATCTATAACATGACAGTAATAATACATCGGTAGGTACCATCCATGAATTAATACTCAGCTAGCTAACTAGCCCTTTGGAAATAATATGACACAAACACTAACTCTTTTTTTCTTCTTTAAAACGTTATTGATTTTGTCAATGATCGACTCAAGTGGGGTTTTTCTTAATTATATTTGAGCTAAATGCAACTTAGAATTTTCATTTTCATTCAAAGTTGGCTCCCATGTTTTCCATGTTGAAGCTTGGTTCAGTCACTTTGGTCTAATGTGTGAACATTATTATTATTTGATTTTATTATATCCCCCACATGGCCTTTTCCTTTTCTTATATTGAAAGCCAAAGAAACTGGAGCTTGACTCTGGTCTCTTCCTTTTCCAGTGGAGGGTCCTACAAACATTCCTCTTGGTAACCGTGCAAGAATATTATCCTCCACTGGGTCTGTGTCCTCCATGTAGAGATATATATAGACCTTGTTCACTTTATCGAATAATAATATAATAATGCACCCTTGGTGAATATTAATCGATGGTGCCTTTACTCGGCTCTAACGTGTTAAGCATATGAATATCTATCTATATATTATAATCTAACATGGTCACGGGGAATCACTTTCTTGCCAAACTCGGTCATATATGATCTACTCCACAAAACATCCACTAACAATTTAACTAGATAATTTTTTGTTGTTGTGTAAGAGTATCTATAGAATGTACTATCATTCATTTGGATTTGCGTCGGTACTACATATATTTAAGATCCTAGAAGAACGAGTTTCCTATTTTTAGGGTTTGGTAAAAGCATGATTTTTTATTCATCTACCAGGGAAATTCTCATTCCATATGACTAAATGATACGGAGAGAATTGGATATATGGATCCTTTAAAGTTTCAACCCATGGCTTCTCTCCAATGATGACCTTTTTACATTAGGGTTTCTACGTACTAGACAGGTCCTAACATTAAGGACAGAAAGGGTAATTATTCACGTAGGTGCGGGACCATATATGTGGAAGCAGGTGATCATTCATTTTTCTAGCGAAATCATGTTAAGAAATGTACACCTTTGGGATCGCCTCCGAGCAATTTGTTTGGCTACATATGGCAACAATTTTATGTCAAGACACAAGAAAGAATGGGCTAGCTAGCTGCTTTGTTTAAATTTATGTGTTGCAAAATCGAATTGAATTCCCTCCATTGGAAAATATAAATGATTGTTACACCCTTGTTTCCCGAATTTACTCTATGAAAGATGCTGGTGAAGATATATACAACGTTGGGCCGATTCACGATGTTACTTCATATATATCAACGATTGTAGCTACCTTATTATTATAGCCTTGTAGATAGCTATAACCGTCGTGTTCATGACCTGTGATGAGGCTGTGCCTTAAGAACAACTTTTTTTTTATTTAATTTTTTTATGTAATAATTATTCCTTTAATAGTTAGTTTACCCTCTTGACATTAGGCCGATAGTATGCTTAGAAGTGGATCCTCTCAACATTTCGTCAAGGGTATACTTAGACTCAACATTTATATACCTTTCACAAAGAAGTGTATCATCTCAACATTTTGTTGAGAGTATACTTAGAAGTGTACCCTCCTAGCATTTCACAGAGAAGATTGTCGCATTGAGTTACCCAATATCATGCCCCTACTTGTGGGAAATATCATCATCAATCCAACTAAAGAAATGTATCTAATACAAAATATATTCATTAATAATCATAATTGAGCACCAAAACATAATACTCGATCACTATTAGGTAAATTCTCACAAAATTCCAAGGCCCATGAAGGCATAATAGTTGGGTATAAAACCCTCATTTTAAGGACAAAGGAAAACACACAACACTTTTGAATGTTCTCATTTTGGATTACTACTAGATAATCTTTAGTATGTTTTCCAAACCGGAACAATTAGTATTCTCAATTTCATAGTTTCTTCCCTTATTTTTAACCATTTTTTAAATAAAAGATTTAATTAATTTTACATTAGGTGTCTTGATTTTAATAAAAAAGTGTACATGCTAGGAGGATTGAAATTCTCCCTAGGTTAAAATTGAGAAAATCATTATGCATTCACATTAATTTTCTTCTACTTTATGCACACATATGCTTCAAGTCAGTCATTCATTTTCGTAACTGAAGATAATTATCAACATTAGTTGACACAAATAGTAATAACTTGTATCTTTAAATTAAGTTATTTAGGATTTGAACCCTAACTTTAGATATGAAATAGACTATATTAAAAGGATAACACTTATATTGTATGCGCTCATGGTCTTTAACGAATATTAGTCACTACTTTCATCCGTAAATACTTCATTACAACAGTAATAAAAAAAAATAGAAGATAGCCACACATCTAATCCACCTAGGAACCGCCTAAGGTTTCATGCTTAATCTTTAAACCTCAATCAAATAACAAATTCATTTGAAATTTATGAATAACATGGACTTTTGAACATATATTTGGAGTAAGTGGATCCCTGTCTTATATATATATATGAGAAGAGATATCTATTTACTTCAACAATAAATTTACCTAAATTTACTCTGTTCAATAACTCATGTTTTATATCAAATTTCAACGATCCAACCATTAAATTTAAAATTCTTAAGATATAAATAAAGTTTACAAATTTAAAAAAAAATTAAAATTATTTAATATTTTATTTTATTAATTCAAATCAATATATAAAACAGTTTTATAATTATCCATCAATTTAAATTAATAAAATAAAATATGAAATGAATATCACCTCATATATATTAAGTGTTCGGTCATTGACAGAAGTTTGAATATTGAAGCAGCATTGCCCTACAGATATTTTGAAATTTCGTTGGTAGCACTCAGAAGAACTGGGGATGGAATCTCAACTCTGCGCACTGAGTCTCCATTTTGGACTATTGTGTGCGACACACAAATTAATAAGGAGTAGGCCTAGTCATGAGTTGGAATTAACTTTGCATTCCTATCAATATAATATCATTGTCCTCGAACATGAAATCCTTCTTAAACTTGCCTCCTAAATTATTCAAATGAGAACGTATCCATGTGTTTAGATTCTCAATTATCTACTTCTATATTATAATTATAAATTAGAATATAAAATTTGGAGCAAGACTCTCATGTTAATAATCTGTGGATTAACATTATCAAATTTTATCGAATTAATTTTTAGAATATTAAAAACAATTATAAAAATAAAATTTAGACTACTTTAATTGATAGATATTAGTATTTTGAGCTTTAGATATGAGTGTGTCTATGATAGCTTGAGTCCTCACTTTTCTAGTGGCTATAAAATTTTCCATTAAATAATTTTGGGTGGCACAATATTGCAAAAAATCCTTGTTGCTAAGTTGAGAGGAACTTTCCCTCTTTCCACTGTTTGTGATTTTATTTGATGCAACAAACATGGATTTTATCTCCTTACTTGGTAAAACCTTTTATATATATATATATATATATATATATATATATATATATATAACATTTCAAGTTGTGCATCACTTACCAATAAATTAAATTCCACTAATTAATTAAAATTTAATATTACTTTTTTTAAAAGTGTTCTTTATGTATAAATTAGAATGACATAGAACATGATTTTAGAAATCATTCTTTATTCTTACCTTTTTTCTTCGAACTTTTAAAAGAATTTCTTAATCTTTTATCTCTTTTAATATTTCATTTTTATATTTATTTATAAATTAATTTTAATATTTTAAAAATACTAATAATTACAATTAATTTTGTATTGCAATATAAGTTATTATGATAAATATAATATATAATAAAAATATTTTTTCTTCTAAATTTTAATTATAATATAATTTACATATTTAAAAATATTTATTATTTTAAGTTTTGATTATCTTAAACAATATTATAAGTTTAATCAAATAAAAATTTACATATGCATTATACATGCTAAAAATATTAATTATAAGAATAAATATACAAAATTTGGCCTACTCTTCTAACCCATAAATCACTAATTATTATTTAAAGTTCAAAGCATTTTTTTTCCAATACTCACGTCAATATATTAGACCTCCTTGATTTTTATCACATAATCTTTTCCTCGTAAAATTGGTGTCTTAAAAACGAGAAAGTATAAAGAACAAGTGACATTTTATTACATGATTGTTATATAAAACTAGTAGCTCACTTAGTAAGTCTCGTGTCATTGCTAATGATACTTACTAGAAGAACTAAGTTGAAGTGATGTCAGAATGATGAACAATAGTTAAAAGGTTAATATTAGTATAAAAAAAATTTGAGAGACTAAAAGTAAATTTCATAAAATGATAAAAGACTAAAATTGATCAAAAATATTGTTGAGACGGTTAGAGCAAAACAAGGTAACTCGAGAATATCGAAACTTGAGGGTACTCGAAATCGTGGGGGATCGAAAAACAGTAAAAGAGAGCTCTGGAAACATGTGAAGTACAAGAAGAATCAAGAGGTACTCGAATACATCTTTCGCGAAGCACTTGAAATCCTTGAAACTCTGCCATTCATAAAATGCTTCGCAGCTTCGCAACCTCTCAAAGTGAAGGAATTAGAAGAGACATGGTTAGAAACAGCTTCTGAGTTGACGAAACACATGCGAAGTACAAAAAGAATCGAGAGATACTTGAATATATCTTTCGCGAATCACTTGAAATCCTAGAAACTCGGCCATTCATGAGCATGCTTCGCAACCTCTCAAAATGAAGGAGTTAGAGGAGACACAGTTAGAGACAGGTCAAAGTAAATCGAAGAGATAAGTATAAGAGACTACAGAGCGGTTTGGGGGGTTATAAATGGTTCCGGAAGTTATTAGAAGACGTGCATGAGTGACCCACGATATGGAAGTTTAAAACAGTTACACATTCGTGGCACGCCAGATACAGTTATTATGATCCCCTAAATCTCTATAAATTAATGAGTCGCACTCATAGAAAAGGGTCCGAAATTGCATACTCACGAAGGCTCACAAACACTCTCTGCTTGCGCATATGACTCTCGTGTACGAGATGGCTGAGTACGATTTCTAGACCACTTTTTCTTTTTCCTTTGTAGCTTAGGTCTAGTGTAGCGTAGTGTAGTGTATTCTATTAGTCACTCATAACTATCCATATGCATTGTACTTTTGTCACTATTAAATGAAGGATATGATTTCCGCAATCAATACACATGTTGTTTATTCGATTCATATTAATGTTCATATGCATGGAATTGATTGTATGGTAAATATTGATGAACACCTGGAGATTCTTGTATGCTAAGCAACATCCTAAATAATTAACTCTGTATGCTATATGTATGATTCCTCAATGAAAAATGGTAAGAGCTTGTCACGTTATACATGCCTAAATTGAAATCTTGCTAGTTCGAATAAAAAGAACCTACAAACGAAAATCACCACAAATAAAGACTAAAAATAAATTTCTTAAAATGATAAGTAACTAAAATAATAGAATTTCAAAAATATAAACTTACACATAATTGTTACATCAAACTAATTGATGACAAAACTTTGAATCACCGTTTAACAGAATACTTAATGGGAGGGATAAAAATATTTAGAGATTAAGATTTGTCAAAAATTTTGTGTAGTACATGAATTTTGAGAAAAGTTTAAAGATAAAAAATATATGTAATATTTTTTAAATTTCATCCCTATTTTTAGGCTAAAGGATCCAAAATAATCAATGTGGCTAACACGGTTGACAAATGTGTATGAATATAATTAAATTTTTTATTTGATAAATCTCAATAAGAATATCTACTTGCAAATTATCGATCAAAGAAATTTATCTCTTGATGAGATGTTTTGGTTTTCCTATTTGGCCCCTCCCCTTCCTAACCGTCACATGAAATGTTCTCGAACACCATGATAATAAAATATTACATAAAGCCTAGTTGTCCTTTTAGGGTCTAACATATGATAGTAAAATAACACTGTGTTTTCCTTTTCCTATTCTTTCCCCCATCTTGCTAGTTGTCTAATGAAATGTTTTCAAAAGCCCTTTTAGGGTTTTGTACGATAGTTTCAAGGTATCAACTTTTATTATAATATTATGCTGAGTTGTATGTTTATTTTAAATTTTTTTATTTAATTGATTTATATTAATATAGTGTTTTTGGTATTTTAAAACTTGAAGGATTATAGAAATCTTAAAAGTTTAGTTGTTTGAAATTTTTTTGTGTTGAGGTTAAAATTGACCGATAATGAAGGAAAATATATGAGGTTTATTGAGAATTTGAATTTCATAAGTTCATTTTTTAGAGTTTTAAAAAGAATTATAGATAGTTAGACTCTGGAATTGAAGAAGATACACATATTTCTTCTAACTTTAGTAGAGTGATCAAATCCTCCCCCTAAGTTGCTTGTGTGGTAATTGGGTTGGGATTTGAAATTGAGAAGTTGAGAATTAGAGATTGGAGTTGTTGTATGATGAGTTCTTGCAAAATCTCATTCTTTATCGTTCTTCTCTTCCCTTATTTTTAAAGGATTCAAGGCAAGTGAAGCTTGTAGTTTAATCTTTTTTGATGAACATGTTGATTTGCTGTGTTGATTCATGCCTTAAATGTTATTTATGTTATAATTGAAAGATTGGATGTATATGTTCTATGTTTTTGGTGTTGGAAGAAGAATTGGTGATTCTAGATCATGTTGTGATTGCATGTTTATTTTGGTGAATCTGAATTGTTTAAGGTGTATAAATGTTGATTTTGAGGATTGCATGTTGAGTTGGCATGGGTTGATGATTGAGTTGTAGGCATAGATTTTTGTGGGTTAAAACCCTATTCTCACCTAACAAGGCTCCATGGCGCTCAACTCATTCAAGAATTGATGACCTGCCCAGAGTTGAACTCTTGCTCAACGACATATGTATCACACAACGAAAAAATGATTTTGTGGCTAAACTTGCTTGGAGAGATATATCTTGCTCAACAAGAGGACCCATTGAGGATTGTAGTTGCCCAACGAGATATGGTTGCCTAGCAAAAATACTCTCATCCAACGAGAGCCTTATTTCATGACCTTTATACTTAATGCTTTTATATGACATATCTTGAGATGATTAGTTGAATTATTATGAAGTTGTGTTGTATTATGTTGTTATGATTGATGAATTCTATTGTAAAAAGTCAAGAATGAAGTACGTGCAGTTGTTCAAGTTGATCTAGAAGATTATTCTAGTGTTGTATAAGTTGTGTTGATAAGTTGGGATGTGTTGTTAAGTTGAATCGTGTTGTGTTATGCATGATGCATGATGCATGATGCATGATGATAAGTTGTGTTGTGGACTTAGGATTATAAGAGAGAGTTGTTTTTGAAAGTTGAAATATCCCATTGTGTGTTTGTGTAGTGCTCTAAGAGCCTAATAGTGAAAAACCTTTCTTGAGAGAGTTGACTCTTGAAGTGGAGTGTTGTGTCTCTTCTAAGTCCTTAGCTGATACCGTATGAGGGTAAGGTTGGACCATATTAGATTAGAAGTGACCCAAATTGAGTAAGGTATGAAGTTGAGGGACAAAATCCTTAACTAATTACTAGAAAGATGCACAATATTTGGAGGGTAATTGGAAAATTAATTCCATATAAACTTAGTTGATAGTGGTACTGAATTTCCTAGTCTAAGTGGTGAAATTTGAGAAATTAATGTTGTGTTGATATTGGATTGATATCCAAAACTGTGTTGTGTGACCTAAATGCTACAAGTTTTTCTATGTTGTGATTCGGTAAGCTCAAATCATTTAAACTAATCATTTGTGTTATAATAAACCTCTTAGTTGAAAGGTGTGACAATGCATAAAGATGATGTATTGTTAAGTTGCTATGTTGATAAGTTGTATCACATGTTAATGTGTTGACAAGGGGTAAAGTTGTTGAAGATTGTAACCATTTTTGAATGTTGAGTTGAAAGTTGAGTGGTAAAGTTGTTGAGTTGCGAAGTTATGTGTATGTTGAGAAAATGCTTATCCAACTAGTTTATAACTCCTATATATTATATTATTTTCTTTACATAGAAGTTTATCCTTACTTTTTCATATTGTTGGATTGTAATGCTTATATTATTATTGGAGTAGGGCAGGATTAGGTCAAGGACGAGCAAGATGTTGGGCCATGTTGATGTTGACGTGTTTTGAGTGAAAACTGTTATGATATAGTTAGATGATAATTTATAACTTTTGTGTTATGCAATTAAGATATTTGTATGTGTGTATGTACATACGTATGTATATGATTGTGTTGTAATCCAACTAAAAAAATTTATGTTTTCGATTGTTTACTCATTTACATATATATTATTTCACAAATATTCAGATATTTGCTCGCATGAAAAATTCTAGGTTTGTTGACATTTATGTCTTCCCCCACTTAATCGATGAAATATAGTAAATATAAAGATTTGTCAGATCGTTACCTTTATTGTCAAGAATAATATTTCCAAAAATATAATGGCAAATATGACATTCTTGAATATTTTTTTAAAAAAATATGTTTGACTATTGATAAGAATATTTTTATGAAAATGAGTGAGAAAGAAATTAAAATGAATAAAAGTAACAATTTTATTTGCCATGGATCCCACATACCCACCACTTTCTTTGGAAATAAAAGCATGAGAATATGAAGGTTATTTCATTCTCGAAGATATAACCATATATGATAGATATTAAATCACCACTCTTTTTTACTTATCCTATTTTTTGCCCCCAACTTCCTAGTCGTCTAAAGAAATGCTTCAAACACCTCTATGATTGTAAAACGTTACTTAAGCCCTATTAGGATCTAACATATATGATGTTAAAGCTCCACTCTGGCTTTACATCATAGGCAGAGATTCTCCTGCCTAATGGGCCCAACTCCAATTAGACCGTTCAGCAATTATCCGAGTTGGCGGAGATCAAGGTGAAACTGTGACAGTAAGCACACGAATATCTGTAGTATGTTTATCAATTTCTTTCTTTCGGTGCTACAAGATTTAGATAAAGGAGACGTAGACCAGTAGACCAGTAGACCGATTCAATGTTCGGTCAATGCTACAAACCCTAGGTTTATCTTAACACTGTCTTTGCAACACAATCTATTATTGACTAAAATTCAATGAAATTCACAAAATGATGTGAACTCACTTTTTACGTAACAGATATCATTCGATTTCATGAATTTTAAAAAATTTCAGCGAATAAAAGTATGTTGAAATGAAAGTATTGCTATCATTTTTTTTTCTTCAGATTACCTGAATCTAAATCACTATCCTTTAAATTGGAACATTATAAATGGTCAAGAGAACTAAATGAATGGGCTAGGGAAAATTAAAGCAGACATTGCAGCTTCGGGTACATAATATTAAGCAGCTTACATTAATTGACAAAAGGAAGCAAAGTGTAGAAATAACTTTAAAAGTACACCAACCATAGAGGAAAGGGACCATCCAAAACGCCAAATTATGAATCTGGGCCAACTTGTGTCATTACCAAATATTGAATTCAACCATAGGAAGATCTACTACTTTATGTATCAAGCCACAACCCAAGAAGGCAGCAGAAGAAAACTTTACATGTCAGCAAAGTTCATCTTCCCTAAAAACAAATTTGTAGGATGGTGTAATTTGGACCAGATATTATTCTTCATAGATTTTAACCATGATATTCATAGACCAGAAAACGAATACACAATTTTATTAACAAGGAATTAACAGTTTATCTTACAATTTCACTTCTGGTCATAACATGAGGAAATATAATGAAGTTGGGGAAACAATGACAAATTTTTAATGGTTGAAGGAAAGAACTTCCTGTACATGATGACATCACAAAGCATGAACGAACAAACATTGAAGACTGGAACGAATGGATGGTGGAACAGAAAGGAATGCTACCAGTTCTCCTTAACGATTTTTGACTTTTCGAGTATGAATTTCCCTTCCTTGTACTTCTGGGACGCTTCATAAGCTCTTTCATACTTCCAACCCAACACTTCACGGCAATCACCGCAATAAACATCGGCAACAGTGTGGAGGCCAGTCATGAGATGCCTGTCTTCTTTAGGCCCTGTGACAATATTCATAGCATGGGAAAACAGAAAGGCTCGGCCGTTTCTTCCCTAGTTATAAAATTTGTGACAATAATATCAGAAAATGGTCTGGGAAAGCTTTTGTAAGAGATAAAAACAAAACTAAAATGTAAGTTTAAATACCAAGAATAACAACCAAAAGCCATTTCTTAGAGAATTTGTGAAGTCCAAATGAGAAAACAAAGAACCCTTGGGGATATTTTCATCTAGGAAACATTTAATAACAAGTGAACAAAATAAAACATATTGGCAATCTTTGTGATAATTGGCTGTTATGTCAGTAAAACCCTTTAAAAGAGGGAGAAAGGGATGTAAAAAGTTTAAAATTTAAATTTCCTCAAAAATATCCCATCTCTTTTAACACTGCCATTGGCTTCCCACCACATTTGAAAAACTTTTTTCAACCTGAAGCAAAGCATCCTCAATATGCAGATAAACCACACATGTAATCATTACATTAAGTTTAGATAACCCATAATACACTTAGATAACCATCACTGCAACAGCCACTGCCACCAGAGACATCTATAGCTACTGTCACTACTAATTATAATTTGGGCATTTTATTTCCACTAAGCATGTAATCATTATATTAAACTTGGACAACCCATAATACACTAGAAATTCATCAGTGTTAATATATAGTACATACTATATTCTTTTATTTCCAATTAACAGAGAAACAGAACACGGAATTATTCAAATTTGAACCTGAGATCAAAATTAAAAAGCAACTTATTTGTTTCTCAAATTGAACATATGGCCTGAATTCATCATAGTCCTAATAGCGTTAAGAAATATACATGTTTGGCTTTACAAGTGAGCTCTAGTGAGTCTAGTCTCATTGTCGATTCACATACATCCTGTACTTCACCTCAATGGCAAAACACAAGCTCAGGTTTTTTTCCCTCTCCTGAAATCAACCTAGAATTTCTCCACTTGACCTCTCTTCATCACAAATCAATGTAATAGTACTGATGACCCAAGAAATCATTAAATTCAGCAACCATCTTACCCTTTGAATAACTTAAGGAGGGTTAGGAGGTGGAAGGTAAAAGGATAATAACCAGGAGCACATGGAGATTTTTCAATAGGAAACAAACCATCAAATATAACAAAGAAGCCAGCACTAAAAAATCACATAATTTGCACATCAAATGTAAGAACAAGAACCATTCTCATAAAAAAACAAATAAATAAATAAAAAAAAAATTCAGTCTCCAAAATAGCCAGAAAATTAAAACAGAGAGAGATGGTTTACCTGAAAAGCCTTGGAAATTATATCATCGTGGAGTGAGACATGGTTTCTGCAATTAGAGCAGCTGTACAAGCGAGGCCCTATGAGTTCCGCCATGAATTGGTAAATAAATATTCAGATTAAACACTTCACTGCTACAAAATAAACCAAAGACCAGTTACCCAAAAGAGCAGCAGAACAACAAGGATTTCAATGGAGAAAAGGGGCAGAGGAGAAGTGATGAAAATTCTTTACCTACACCAAGCTCAATGATGACTCCGTCTGGAACACAAAGATAAGAAGAAAATACGAGTTAGCGTGCAGGATTAGGCTTGATCACAGAGTTGAATGAAGATTCCCAAATTAAGGGCTTCAAAAATTATTTTATTTTCATATTCAAATTTTGTTAAAACTAATTCTGTTAATAAAAATATTATATTAAATTTAACTAATATTATATATATTATTTTTAAATATGTTATTAATGATTTAAAAGATTAAAATAAAATTTTTAAAATTATAAAAATAAAAAATAATGATTTTAAATTTGAAAGATTAGAAAAATTATAAGAATATATAGGGTCATCAGATAAAGACAGAATCGCCCCCGCTATGAGTAAAAAATGGCAACACTCTGCACAGTATCTAAATCATAGATTCATAATAACAAACAAACAATTAAAATAAATTCAAATCAAATTACTTTGCAGGTTGTTGAGGATCTGAGCTGTGAAAAACCTAATTTTCATTTTTCTATAGAGAGTTAGTAATTATTTAATTGCTTATATTAATACATAAGGCAATCTAATGCATAATGGAGGAAGCTAAGATGGATGATTCAGTCACCTTGAGAGTGAGTTTGAGTGTGGGTTTGTTACTTTGTTCCATAGTTGAAAGTGGAACCCAAATAATAATTTTTTTTTTGTAAGAATAGAAAAAATCACAAAAATAATGATAACATGTTTTTAATTATCTTAATTCTTCATCATCCAACCATTAAATTAATAAGATTGATGATTTTTTTTCTTTGCTTCTTAGGGTTACTTTTGTTTTGGACTTTATTTAGGTTGTTAGGTGGCGATGATTATGACAGTATGACACGCGCGAAGCAATATGTAGCATCGTGCGCGTCTTTTAGGGGTGATTTCTGTTTGCAATTTACAAGAAAAATGCTGAAGGTTACGACTGAATTCACCGTCCCGAATTATTAAAAAAATAATTTAAATAATAAAATATTAAATTAAATAATTATTTTATAATAAATTTATTAAAAATATTAATATTTTACAAACGTAGCTGAAACCCAAACCGAAACTCTAACGGTGCAGTAGCGGCGGAAACTCGGTGCTTGATTGGAACACTAATCATTCCTTTAACACATGAAATGCTGAAATATGCCAACGGAAACTCCTATTATAGCAAAATTTAACGGTGAAATCCCCGTTAAGTCGCTTCATTTGTTTATTTTATGTTATCTCTTTCTGTATCATTATCATATAATTTAAGTAACTTTCATATCATAATTCAATCAAATTCATTATACGATCACATTAAAAAAATCATTCAAGGACAAAACTTGCATATGACTTACTTCATATAGTTTTACTTTTTTTTATTATATATATATATAAGTTTAAAACTTTAATTCAATTTCATCTGCCCATCACGTTTTTTTACCAACTTCACAACTCCTATTGTATGGTGTTTTATAATGGTGTTGATATTTTCTGTACAACTATGATATATTTTTCTAACTTGGAACAGTTTTAGACATAAGGATTTTTTTTTGTAAGACATGTAAAAATCCTTATCTTCATTTCATTTGAAATATTAATAGCATCCTTTATTTGAATTGGATTGTGAGTTGTGACCCAATTCAGATTTAATATATTATATATAATATTTGTGTTTATTTAAATATATAAAAATTTAATTTAAATATAAATATTAATAAATTAAGTTGTATATATTTATGATTTATTCCAAATAATTTATTGAGCGTGATATGAACATTTTTTTTAGCAATATTGGTTGTGAATATGACGGGTCACACTTCACAACACGACACTAACAACGCATATAAATATATACTGAAGACAGTAATATAAGATATTTAACAGCTTCTCCAAAATATATATACATAACTATGTTGCTTGTCTAGTAATTACCTACAAGATACTAAACAAAATGTCTACCCACAATAGGTAGACTACAAAAAAATATCTAACTCCGAGCATTATTGGCTGATCTATTGCTCAACTCCAGCCTATCCTTGCTCTGCTCCCATACATAGTATAATCATAGCAATCCAAATCACATGAAAACATGTAAGGGTAAGCTAGTGAAAATAATCAACATATACAAATATATGAACAACTTACAACACAACAACACCATCATTATCCTCAATAGTTCAACATGCAACACATAACAACACACAACTCAACCACAGCCTTGCAACACAACAACATATATATATATATATACATCTCATATCAACACCAATTCAACTCATCAACAACTTATGCGTCGTCACGCATTTCAACTCGGAGATCTCCTACAATACAGGGTGAGCAGTCTAAATGGCTAGGTCTTACTGAACTGACAACACAAAACCTTTTTGGGCTTGCTAGGTAAACAGAAAATTTGGATATCAATCCTCAACAAGATAACAATTTCTCAGACTTTTCCACTTAAACAAGGAAATATAGTACTCTGTCAGGATAAAACGATTGGGTTTAGGCCTACCATCGCATTAGCTAGCTTAACTAAGCCACCTATGGGATTAGCCTACCGACAATCCTCCAAATACAACAACCCTTCGATACTTGGTTAGGAACTAAGCTCCTGACTTCGTACTTTACTCAAGTTGGCCGCTTGTTATCGGTATAGCTCGACCTGACCCCTATACTGCGGTCGCTTTATACACGTGTGCATCGACCTTGCCCACACACGGAATCAACTAAGTTCTAGAGGAGAACAACACAATGTCCACTCCAAGGGACAACTTCCCGAGGAGAGTTTTTCAACAAATTGCGCTCTCAGAGCACCACCGCACTCTCAATCCACACAATGAGATGAGCAACTTCGAAAACATCTCCCCTAGTCCTAGTGATCAATAACTCGTCATCACAGTTTAATCGACTTACAACTCAACAGCTCAGTTCAGCTCAACGACTTAAACAACATACAACTTTCCAACTCATCATCTCAATCAACTTTCAACTTAAACAACGTGGTCAACTCACAACTTTAACAACACAATTCAACAACACAACAACTTCTCAACAGTGTTTAACAACATGTTTTAGCAACAAAGCAACTCATTCAAATCATACATACGACATTTCTACACAAATACACAACTATATCTTCTTATCATACCACAACATTCAACATTTCTTAATCATAACACCAAACACCTTCACGCTTGGTGCAAGTAAACTCGAGCCTGGCCTGAACCTAACCTAAGAGCTCTAAAGCTCTCTCACGCCCAGCGTAGCATCATCATGCCCGATGTGTTGGTAGGTAGAGACTTCCAGGAGTCTCCCAAGCCTGACGTGCCCAACTCGCGCTCGACGCAAATCAGGTAGAGACCTCACAAGGGTCTCACGCCTGGCGCGCTCACTCTGCACTTGGTGCCATCCTAGGCAAAGACCCCCAAGGAGTCTCTACGCCCGATGCGCTCACTCTACACCCAGCGCCACCCCAGGCAGAGACCCCCAAGGAGTCTCTACGCCCGGCGCGCTCAGATTGTGCCTGACACCATATAAGTAACCCAAATTTTGGGTCACTATCTAATATCACGCCTAGCGTGGTTTTCCCCACGCCCAATGTGATTCATCCAGAGACTTCCATTCCTAATCTTGCCTGGCGCAACCAACCTCGCGCCTGGTGTGATTGGACAATGGAGTTCCCTGATGAACGCCCACTCGACGCCAAGAATTGCACCCAGCATGAACTCAAACAACAACCCCCACAACTTCAAAAATTTTAACCAAAAACCTGAAAATCAGCCAACTCAAACACATGCAATCCATGAAATTGAATACATTTACTCCATACAACTCAAAAACAACTTCAAAATCAATATGCAACCACACTATGCATCAAATTCATCAAATTTCCCAATCTTCCCGAAACCCCGAAAATGAGAAGTTCCTCAAATAAATCAATGATTTCTCATCAATTCTTACTCCAAATGAGTTCCTAAACTCACATACAACTAATAAGTTACAATCCAGCTCCCGTCACCTTGGAGAAGAAGAATCCGAGCTTCGGGGAAGAGAAAGAAGAAGAAGAAGATTTGTGCTTCCAACTAGCACTCCACGCCTCTACTCAACACCTTCAACAATAACAACACCATAAGGAAGCTCAGAAATTTTGGAACAAGAGAATAGGAAGTGAGGAGAAAATGAGAGTGTTGGGGGGAAGGAGGAAGAAGAAGAATGCATGTGGATCTTACAGGTAATGTGATTTTTTTATCATACAATATATATATATAATAAAGATAATATTAGTAGTTATTTTTATCGATCTTATTTATTTAAATTTTGGGATACCTTTGATAAACAGTAACATATAGTGTATGGTTGAAAGATAAGAAAAATTTTTATTGAAAAAAATTTGTTTGGTTTAATTTTTAGCGTTTGATATTGATCGAATAACTCATTTCTAATACTAAATTACACATGCAAGAAATATTTTTCAAGATAACCAATTTTTAAAAAACTAAAAACACCAAATTCAACTATTGTCATTCCAACTCATGCAATTCCATAACATAATTGCAACTATTAGCATCCAATCATGAAATTAATCAACAAGCAACCAAGCAATTCAACAAAAATCAAGAATCTAACTTCTCTTACCTCAACTATAAGCAAAAGAGAGGAAGAAGAAGGAGAAAGTGTTCTCCGACTTTAGAGCTCCAAGAAGCTCTGCACAACCCCACAACCTCGATTCTCAACTAAGAGCTTTGAATCGCCAACCAACAACGATCCTTACGTACTCAAGGAGCTTAAAAAGAAAAAGAAGAAATAAGAATCTCAAAGTTTCTATCTTTAGTATCTCTCTAAGGTTTCTTAAGAATTGAAAGTACAAAACTCAATTCTTAAAAGAAACTTTATATACTGCTTCCTTCATGGTCAAACTACACCTTTGTCCAAAGAAACCCTCTAAAATACCTAAGGACTACTCAAGAGTTCCTCAACACTTAGACTCTTTCAACACTGCACCTTAGAACACGTTAACATAAAATTATTGTTAAAAGACAATAATTATCAAAAAAATTTATAGCGTTGCAATTAAAATGAAAGGTTGTTGTTGCGTTTTGTAGGATCTCTATAGTTAAATTTTTTTTGTCTCAAACATCCTTAATTTCTTTATTTTTCCTAGCTACATGTTTAA